CCCTGGGAAATCTCAGAGATTCCTGATATCATAAGCTAGTCTTAAAATTCTCCCAAGATTATGTACTCTTTATCCATTTTATGGCTATCTAAAATTATTTAACAAATATGAAAAATGAAGTTTTGGCATTTATAAAGAACCATCACCTCTAGTCAATATTCAAACACTGGAAACTACCAGTGAATGTTATTGGCTGATACTTGAATAATTAACATTGACCCCTTCTAACATGGCTAACGGCACTACACTGCATCTTTTTTTTTTAAGATTTACTTATTTGAGAGAATGAGAGAGAGAGAGAGAAAGAGAGAGAGAACTTGAACAGAGGGAGGGGCAGAGGGGAAGGGACAGAAACAGACTCCCTGCTCAGTGTTCAACAGGGACTCTGCTTGAGATTCTCTCTCTCTCTCTCCCCCCCACCCCCATGCTCTCTCTCTCTCTCTCTCTCTCTCTCTCATAAATAAGAAATCTTTAAAAAAATAAAAAGAATGCTCATCTCTTTACTTACCTGCCGTCATTAGACTGACGCTCTCTTGAAGGCAGGAAGTCTATGTCTTTTACATTATAGAACTTCAAATACCTTGCTTGGGGTTCAGAACCAAGTACATGCTTAATTAATATGCAGTGAATTGAATTTCATGGAAGAGAGAACTGACGTTTAAGCTGAGCTTTGGTAGGTGCATTTGTTAAGTGGTTTATGGAGGGAAGGGTTTTTGGGGCTGAGGGAAACAATCTCTGCAAAGACACAAGCATGCCAAACAGTGTATTTTCAAGGACTACAATGACCTTCCTTTGGCAGGTGTGCAAAGTAGGAGATGAACGCAGCACAGTAACCAGAGACTAGGTCATGCAGGGGCCTGGGTCCCTGTTAAGGACTACAGATGTGACCCTGTAGGCAGTGGGAGCCAGCCGTTGAAGGAGGACTCCAGAGACTTAGGCTGGAGACAGACGGCTAGAGTTTGAATCCCACCTCTGAACTTACCTACCTTCGGGCAGGTTCTTTAAACTTCCTAGACCTCAGTTTCTTCATCTTTAAAATGGAGATTATAACAGCAAATACTCAAGGAGGTTTTGGCTAAAAGGCCCCAGGAGATAATGCAGGTAAAATAGTTAACATAGTACCTGGCCCATAGTAATAGCTCAATAAAGTGACTTTTGCTATTATTATTATTGCTCTTACTATCACCAAAAGGTTTTAAATAGCAGAGTGACATGATCTGATTTGTATCTTGAGCTAAAGTCCAAGGCCAATCCCCACCATGAGATAAATACTCAGAACTGATGAGGGTCTTTCCTCTTCTTCCCCCCCTTTTTTTAGAAAAAAAAAAAGATGTATTTATTTATTTGAGAGAGAGAGAACACGAGCAGGAGGGACAGAGGGAGAGGGAGAGAGAATCTCAAGCAGACTCAGTGCTGAGTATGGAGACCGACATGGGGCTCGATCTTATGACCCTGAGATCACGACCTGAGCCGAAACCAAGATCGGTTGCTCAACCAATTGAGCCACCAGGTGCCCCTCTTTTCCCTTTTTTTTAAGTTGTTTTCCATGGTAGTCTGGTAGTCTCTCAGACCTAAAGGATCCCAATCTTCTTTGGGGTTCTTCAGTTTCCTCTCCTAGCTTCAACAGACTAGTTGTTGGAAGGCAAAGCAAATGAAAGGATGAGTGAAATACAGCCTGAGGTCATGGGAGTCTTAGGTGGAGAAAACAGGAATAGTCATTCATTCAACAACCATTTGAAAAGCATCAGGACTCTATGTAGGGACCTGGGAGGGAAGGGAAGAGGGATCCTGGGGTCAACTAGCCTTGGGCTTCCTGCCGAGCAGGCTTCCTTCTTTTTGGGGTATAGTGGGCACAGTCCTGGCCTTTAGAACCTCAGCTCCATCATGTCATTTGTTTGAGCCTCAGTTGTAGCATCTGTAAAATGGGGATACTGATACTTATGCCTCATCTTCCCATGCCCCAAGATAACTTTATCATACACTTGCTTCTCTCCTCAAACTTCCAACACCCTCCCACCATCACTGTTTTGAGCTGATGGACTTGCTTCTTATTCTACTGAGAAAATAAACGCAATCAGAACAGAGCTCCTTCACCCTCCTCCATCTAATCTACCAACCTACTGTCACATGTATCAATCTGAACACTGTCCCTCTTTCTATCCCTATCACGTGTGATTCAGATCTCACTCTTTTTTGTCTACTCAAGGACCATGATTCTACAATTGTCATATCACTTTTCATATTTTCAGTTTTCCCCCACTCTTCCAGGGCATTCTCCTCAGCAAACAAATAACCGAAGCAATATAGCCTCCTTACTTCTCAGTCTCTCCCAGACTTTTATGTTTTTGCTAAGCTAATTGGAGTTAGATTTTTGTCATTTCCAAAGGAAAAAGCCCTGATTAATACAGGAGACATAGATAGGTGCCTATGGAAACAACTTGTGTCATTTCCCCCCATTGATCTTCAATGGGTAAAAGGTTCCAGCTCCACAGAGTTCATTTTTGTTCTCCCCGGAGGACATGGAAACGCTAAATTATCCGTCTTTGTACTTCCTGTCACCAACCTCACAGCTCTCCAGGGATTTCAGACATAGTTGGGTGGATGTTTGAAATCCACCCTCACAATAGTGTAATAGGGACAGATCATTTTACATGAAACATTTAAAATTTTTCTGATGTTTGCATAAAAATTCCTCTTGCATAGTTTTTCACAGATAATCTGTTGAAGAGGAGGAAAGTTGGCTTCAGAATTTAAATGAGAGACATAATAAAGGCAGTAAAATACATGGGAGACACAGTGCTTAATATTGAGCAGTCTATATTTAATTAAATGATTAGATGAACTAATGAATGAAATGAATTAGCAATTTGCAAATGTGTTGTATTCCCAGAGTTGGTTTTGTAGCTCAGTTGTTTTGAATTTGGGATGCATTCACGCATAGAAACAATGTTATAAATGATACTTAAGTGCCAAGAAATCCCACTGAAGCCATTTACCCATAATGTAGCAATAAAATCTAGAAAACGGGGTGCCTGGGTGGCTCAGTTGGTTAAGCAACTCTCTTTGGCTCAGTTCATGATCCCAGGGTCCTGGGATTGAGCCCTACATTGGGCTCCCTGCTCAGCGGGAAGCCTGCTTCTCCCTCTCCCCTTGCTTGTGTTCCCTCTCTCGCTATCTCTCTGTCAAATAAATAAAATCTTAAAAAAAATAAAATGTAGAAAAGTAACGGCATCATGTAAGAACACTTAAACAATTTTGAATACAAGTGCTTGAGGAAAAGTGACTTTAATTAGAAGATGAGGTGGCACATGAAAAATGTGGCGATTTCCAAGGGGACCTGTGAGTACTTTCAAAGATCATGGAGGGCATTATGTCTTTTTTAACATCTATTTTCATATTAAAATGTATGCATTTTTCCCTTGGTACAATCTTAGACTATCAGCAGGATCTTTATTGTTTGTCTGGCAGGCAATTAATAACTGTTTGTTCCCAATTGGCTAGAAGATGGGAACAAAGCAAGATGGAGAGTTGGGGGGAAATTTCTCTTAAGTAATTGAAAAAAAAAGTTGTAAGAGAAGACTGTCATAAACAGAAAACAAGTATGTGTTATCACACGTCTCAGTATTCAGATAAAAGGAAAATGATGTGCTATGCTCTTGAGAGGCATTTACACAGGGAGTAAGATCAACACAAAGAAAAAGCACTACCTGGTAAGACACCTTGGATGTCAATCAAAGAGATAGCTGTTTGGAGTGGATGGTGATCTTTGGGGCCAGGGAGCAGGAAGAAGAGTTTGAGTCTGGCCTTTGGAAGAGGGTTTCAGTAAGGAGAGAGTTGGGAGAGTATATGAGGTGAAATTAACTGAATGGTACTCATGATAGAAATGACAGAAAACACAGGAAAAGGAAGAAATATGGTGTGAGCATGATTCTACCCAAGAAGAAAGAATATGGCAGGGGAAAATGATGCTGGGTGATTTCCCTATGGAGGCCATACAACGGCTTGGGAAAGGTTGGTGCTGGCTACAGCCAACTGGGAGTAATGGCCATGGAATCTCCAAGTGACCAGGCAGTCTGCCATCAGAATTTCAGGTGTTTGTAACTCAGATCGTACCTTAATATACCTCAGTGCTTCTATAGCGTTCGTGTAATTTTATCATATCCTATCTATTGATTTTGGTAACATGTTCTGTTGGACAAATCTTACTGATTCCTAAAGAAGGAACTTCTGAGACCCTTGCCTTTGGTATAAGAAGACGTCATGTTCCATTTTCAGGTACTTCCCATTGCTCCCCCCTCCCTCCTTCTCTTCTTCCTCCACCTTTCCTTGTCTGACCCTGACCAAGTCACTGACTCTCTGGGGCCCGTTTTCTAACCTCTAAACGAGAACAACTTTACTAGATTATATATTCCTTCCAATTCTAAAACCTAGATTGTGAAATTTTCCAAAATGACAAAACACAACAAACCACGAGGACGAGGTTTGATTCTACTGCTCAAATCCTATCGCTCTGGTTTCCACAATGGCTTCTGAATAACACAGATAATTCAGTTATCCATTGTTTTTAGAATTAGGTGACCTCTGCGCTCAGAGCTGTCACGGGGGCACTGGGATTTATCTAGAAAAAGGCTCTTCCCTCCTTAAAAAAGTGGCGAAGGTCACAGGGGCAAAATCTGTTCCCTCCTATCTCCTTCGATTCAAAAGTCTTCTGGGTAGGCGCAAGTAGATAAAAGCTTATCGTTCCTGGTTTGGGGCCTTGACCAGCGTAAGTATCCGGCCCTATAACCGCAGACCTCGACACTTCCGGCGAGCATCGAGCCACTGAGCCGGTTGAGGCTCTGCGGCTTCCCGCAAGGCGCGGCGTGGCGGAAGCGGGGTCGCCACACTTCCGGTGGCCCGGCCGCGCGCTCGCCACACTTCCTGTTGATCCGGCTCCGCGGAGGGCGGGCCTGGGAGGAGGGCCGGCGGGCGGGCGGCTACGGGGGAGGCGGCCACTGGCCTGGCGTGGGCGCGCGCGGGGCCGCGGCGGGCACGGAGAGTCAGCCGCGTCGCTTCAGCCCGGAGCACCCTCAGCGGCCGCGCCTCCTGCCCTCTGTCCTTCTGCCCGGCCCCGCGCCACCATGCCCGCCGTGGACAAGCTCCTGCTGGAGGAGGCGTTGCAGGACAGCCCCCAGGTACCTCCCGCCGCTCCGGTCCCCTCGCCCGGGGACGGGAGGCCCCTGGAGTCCCAGGGTGGAGGCCGGGAGCACGCAGGGGCTGGGAGGGGGCACCCCGCAGGCGGGGCTGGACAACCCGAGGAAGCCCCCCCCCCCCCCCCGCCCGCGGCCGGGGTCTTTGTGTCGTGACCCCTTTTCCAGAGTCAGCCGAAACTGACGCTGCCCGGCCTAAACTCGGGCTCCGTCGCTTTGCTGAGTGCCGCAGTTTTGACATCTGTAACCCAGGGATAATTGTCCCCGCCTCATAGAATTGTCAGAATTAAATAAGGGAATGCCTGTAAAGTTGTTAGCGGGCAAAGTCTGGTAGGGAAGAAGTAGTCAATCTTAGTTACTACTGCTACTGCTACTTACTGATGCGATGGGTCCTGGTGGATTTAGGGCCAAGATGGGAGGCAAAGAGCCTAGCTCTCTTTCCCAGCGGTACCCTTCGGCACGGTTTTCCCATTTTGTCAAGAGAAAATTACAACACCTGCCCCATTTGTCGCACAGGGAGACTTCATTAGCACGCTGGAGATGAAAGTTAAGTCCTTGGAGCTCTGCAGATGAAAGCCAATGTGTAAATAGAGCAGATGAGTGCAGAATGACAGGAGTTCATAATTCAGTGCCCTTTTTCTTCAGGGAACTTTTTTGCTCCGCATTAGCATTGCCTGGCTTCATATCTACTCTCCTGGTTCGGCATCCCTGGGTTTATTTAAATCAGTCTTTTTATCCCCAGGTGTCTCAACTCTTGAAAAATTCGAATGAGATTAACTGTTTTCCTTCTCTTTTCGGTTCCCTTCCTTATTCTTAGAAAATTGCACTCCCGGGATGATCTTTTGATGGTCTGACTTACTTACTTTTTACCTACCCACTCTGCGTCTTGCCAGTTCAGAATCAGCAGTCAAAGGGCTGTGTGCTTAGTTGCCTGTGTCCATTTCTTTGTGATCTTCCTTAGGGTAGGTGAGTAAGAAACTTGAGCAAGCTGTGGCTTTTTTTTTTTTTTTTTTTTTTTTAGTTGGCATCCGCTGGTCTGATTGACTTTTCAAAGACCCCTTTGAAGTCTCTAGACTTGTGGCATTTTAATGGGACCAAAGCCCTTTGGAGAAGTCATTTTGTCTGTCCTCACACATAATGTGAGATATGAAGAGAATAATGTAGAATTTCTAAGGATACCATTTTGAACAGGGATTTCTGTTTGTTTTGTATTCCAGAAGTGCAAAGATATATTGCTTTCCTAACTGATCATGGTGATGGCTGAGCCACGTCAGAGAGGTTGCACTAATCGATTCTCCTGTGTTGCCCTCATTGCGGAGTCACATTCTGCATTTCTGACTCTCACATAAGTGAATATGCACCATTTCTGAGTGGTTTACAGGGTTTGCTCAGCTGGGAGGAAGCAGAGAGAGGACTGGCAAACAAGACAGGAAAACTGGATCCTAATTCTTGCTCTACCACTAACATATCATGTGATTGGGGCAAGTCACTTATCCTCACCCTGTGGTTGACTCAGTCTTCTCATCTGCAGAATGAGGGATGCAGAGCAGTTGATCTTTAAGGGGCTTTAGAAGCTTAAAATTATATTGCATGGTTTATAATTTTGAGCTCGTATGTGGAAGAGGAGGTTTAGTGGCATTTGCATTCCTATATAATGTTCTTCTTCATGTAGGGAATTTGTTACTACTTTTGGGACTTGGGTGTCACCTTACCAGGATTCTTCATGAAGTTGTTCAGTGGAAGCTAACTTTCAAGAAGGGCTTTGATAATCATCGGAATATGTTTATTTAGCAGTCTTATATGGAGCGTGTGCCTAAAGTGGCCTTATTCCCAAGGAAACCCATAGATTTGGAACTGGAGAAAAGCTAATCTAATTCCTTTTATGTGTAAAGAGTAAAAACAATAGCAAACACCTATATCACACATGCATTTTAGGCGCCAGGCGTTATTCTAAATGCTTTACCTGTATTAATTCACTTAATATTCCCAACAGTCTTTTGAAGTAGGTCTCCTGTGAAAGTTACCGAGGAGTAGAGAAGTTAAATAACTTGCCCAAGATTATACACTATACAGTGGCAGAGCCAGGATTGGAACCCAGGCAGTCTAGCCTATATTGTTCAAGTTGGCCCAGCTACCTGGCACCTGGCCTTTCTATCATCGGTAACCTAAAATGTTTCACTGAAAGGAAAAGATCCTAAGAAACCATCTATTGTTTGTTTCTTCTAGTTTTATGAAGAGTAGTTATGAGGGTTGCTGCAGCAACCTGCACATGATTCATTAAGTGAACACAAAAGCTTTTGTAATTGAACTCAGTGACCCAAGAAGAGCTGAATAGCAGTTGACCGCCCTTAGACACATCTATTCATTTCGTCCTTTTTAGTGCAGCACGGTGTGTTGAAGACTAGTCTGTGCGTACATATATCATTTCTGGTTACATCTGATATGTGAGAGGCAGAATGTTTTGGGGGTGAAGCTACTTGTCTCTGTTGCCGTCCGGGAGCCTCTGCTCCTTGCCAGGCGCCACTAGATGCTGGGAATATAGTGACAAGGTAGGAGTGCCTGCCCTCCACGGGGCACAGTCTGTCCCCGGAGACAGATAAGGAAAGCAGGGCCGGGGCCATGTGCATGGGCTGCGGTAGGAACACAAACGCAGCTTTGAGCTGCTGCCGTGCAGACTTCTGCAGGGGCTTATTGGCTTTTGTGTAAGTAGTCCGTTTTTGAGATAAGGTGAAGACAAAAGCAGTATTACTTGCTGTTTTCGTGATTTTTTTGTGTATTTGTTTCCTTTGCAGTTGGCAAAACTGAAGCCCAGAGAAGTTAAAGACTTAGCTCTGAGATTATGCAGGGACTGGTCCAACTGGGAACAGCCCTCCTTGACCAAACTAGGCTTTCTTTACTCAAGCAAGAGGGCCCAAAACAACCTGGTGGTTATGTGTTCATTGTGGAGAATAATATGTATATTTTATAATCAGAGTTACTAAAATTGTGCCATTATATGATCAGATGCTATTCTGGAGAATAAAAAATGTCTAGGACTATTTTATTAGGTAACACTCAGCTTCTTTAAGATGGAGGGATGATGTGGATGCTGAGGCTGTATTCTTAGGGTGTTTGGTTTTTCTGGCTAGGCATACTCTTAAAAATGTAGGGTAGTAGAAAAAAGATGGAATTGAAATCCTGATTCGGCCATTGTTACCTTAGGCAAGTTACTCGACCTCTCTGAGCTTGTGTTTCAACATGTGTAAAATTAGAATAAAAATATTTACTTAATAGGATTCTTATGTAGATGAATAATGTGTGTAATGTGTCTTCATGCCTACATGTCATAGTAACTCCATAAACGATTGCTGTTATTATCTTTATAAGTGATAAGCATCAGGGTCTTTCTGACTTGTGAGTAGTCTTTGATGTCTGGTGTACCTTCGACTGGTCCTTGGTCTCATTCCTTACGTTTCAGATATAGGACATTCCTGTTCCAGATACGGAACTGATAATGTGGGTATCAAAACAGTGTCTAAGATGGCTGGGCAGGTTTTTCTCAGTAGTGATCATGGCCTAGTTAGAAAGACTGGATTTTTCTTGCCAGTGCTGATGGGGGTGGTCATGGTAAACCTGTCCAGAGTGTAAGGAAACAAAACACTTGTGATATATAGATTTGGCAGTTATTATAGGGGAGTGCGTGACAGGATGACCGAAGGGAAGCCAGCTACAGGCAGGACTTGGGCTGTGGACCACAGCGCATGCCCACTGATAAAGCTCGGCCAGCTGGGTGACAGGTGCAGCCTCCTGCAGGGGAGGAAGTGGGCCGTTGGTGCAGGTTGGACCTGGATTGACATCCCAGCCCTGCTGCCTCCCAGCCATGGGAGGTTGAGCAAATTTCTTGACCTTGAAGAGCCTCAGTTTTATCATCTGTAAAATAGGGTTAAGTATCCCTGGTATCTACCTCATAAAGTTGTTGGAAGGATTAAATGAAGTAACAGATATTAAGTGCTCAGCACAGTGTCTCACACGCAGGAGGTACAGAGTAAACGGGAGGGTTCGTTTTCTTTCTCTTCTCTTTGTGGAGGACATTTATATAAGCCTTTTCATCTTCTCATTTTCCATTCTGTTTCATTCCTGAGAGTTTTATTTATTTATTAAAGATTTTATTTATTTATTTGACAGAGAGAGACAAAGCGAGACAAGGAACACAAGCAGGGGGAGTGGGAGAGGGAGAAGCAGGCTTCCCGCGGAGCAGGGAGCCCGATGCAGGGGCTCGATCCCAGGACCCCGGGACCATGACCTGAGCTGAAGGCAGAGCTAAAGACTGAGCCACCCAGGCGCCCCTCAATTCCTGAGAGTTTTAAAAACAATAAGTAGGCCTCGACTAAATGGATATCAGTAGTAGTTAGAAAAATGAAGTATCCTCCATCCAGTTGTACCATTCTTTCCTTCTCATTTTCCTAGACATGTTAGTTAGTTATAGCAAAGAAAAATACCAGAATCATAATAAACGTGAGTGAGCACCTCCAGCACTGACGGCATTAATACAAAGAGACAAAAGGCCCTTTACTGTTAGATAACATTTATAATAACTGTATAGATAAGTATCGCTGTGGTGTTAAGATGAAATCATACAGAGACTCGTGCTCCTTTCCTTTCTGAGTCTCCCAGACGCTCCATCCGTATCTGCTCTCTGTCTTCAGTAAACTCTGCTCTCCCTTAGAAAAAAATGAAATCGTACATGTAAAACCCTTAGTGTGCAGCATATAATAAGCAATCAAAGTTCATTATTTTCATAATCAGTATCAGCTGCTAGCACCATACATCACACACTGGTAGGCACTTTATGTATATTCATAATCCCAGTAACCCTGCAAATTAGTGTTAGAGCCTGAATTTGGACCCAGGACTGACATGGTCCCAAGGGGATCCCAGGTGCTGTGAGAGGCAGAGCAGGCTCTAAGCTCCTGGAGCACATAGGGTCGGTTCTCATCACCTCTGAATCCCAGTTCCTAGCACGATGTTTCGGCAGATACTGGATGAAGGCAGAGAAGCATGCCTCAGTGAATGAATACAATCTCTTTTTTTTTTTTTTTCCAAAATAGAAAGTATATTTTAAAAAGATAAAATGAAGAGTTTGGAACCAGTGTTTTTCACCTATTGGTTGACATCCATGCATTGAGTACCAGAGCCAGTGGGTCACAGTCATGATTTCTGTTTACAAATGAAGGGGAACGGAATAGAGCAGAAAAAAATCGGAGTGTATATGCATACTAATGATAAACATTGTTTGGTCACATGTGTTTCATTACCACTGTTTTTAATTTTAGAAGGTTTGAAGAACTCTCCTCTGGCACACGAATTTATATGCTGTATGAACTGATATTTTGCTGTCATTTAGAGCTTTTTAAAAACCTGTCTTACATTTTCCATATTCATTTCATCTGGCCCCTCTGTTGATAAGGAGTACTGAAGAGAGTACCTTTGTTTCGGAGAAGGTATTTTTAGCCTTGAAGGCTTCAGGCAAAGCCAGGACAATTGTGTCCGGCCTGAAGTACACTGGAGTTTGGGGGACAAAATCAAGGGGAGACTGAATGATCCAAACACCCAGGTGATTGAGGGTGCTTTGAAGTCAGTCACTGCTCTCTTACCTGAGGTTAGAAAAAGAAAGAAGGAATTGAAATTTGAATGCAGGGAGATAATGAGTCTTAATAGATTGTTCTTTGTAAAGTGCTTTGATATCTTATTAAAAGCATTTCTGTAATTTTCTGTCCATCCTGTGCCTAATGGGTTATTTTTAGAGACCCCATTATCACTGACATAATATTTTAAATTCCCACTGTGCTGGACACTGAAAGTCCCTTGAGTAGATATGGTCACTTATGTGACACCTCAGTACTTATTTAGACACCATCTCCTATGTAAATATTTCTTCAGTGTTCAATATGTCAGGCTTTGTGCACAAGAACAATAGAAAATACCTTCCATCTAATGACGTTACTCAGCTGCTCTGGGGCACTGAGTAGTTAGCCTTCCTGAAGGAATGGAGCTAGCATTCTTGTTAGGTTGAGATTTCAGTTTTGTGCCCAGATCTACTGCTGGTGGACCCAGGGTATACGAAATTTCCTGGCTACGAGTTTAAAATTAGTTGAATAAAAGGTGGCGAAAGACATGGAAATTGACTGTAGTATCTTAAGGGGAAAGAATGACGCACCCACGCAAGATGTCCAAGTTTGCAGAAAACCAGACAGATGGTTAGCTGTTGGGGTGATGCACTGCTGGGCGTCCACACCACAGGTAAACACACAGGCCTGGCGTTGTGTGCAGTTTATGGGCTGGAAAGGAGAGGCTGCCTTTTTAACTTTTTTTTTTGGACTCTCCTTGTGCTTAGATAGAGACTAAGTTAAAACAGATAATAGCCCTCAAGTCTTACTCTTTAAAAAAATTCGCTTTCCTTCTTTGGCCCCAGATTGTCTTCAGTTTGCCCCTGCGTTGTAGTCTGAAGGATTAGGAAAGTAGTTCTAAATTAAAGCTCCAGAAATCAACTCTTCCTAGTATTACCGGTAAAAGAATAAAGCCGGAGAACTGGCACCTTCCTTCTCCATTTCAGAGAGGGGAGTGTGTGTGTGTTTTCTACCTCCTTTGTAACTTTTCCACTCAGAAATAAAGTCAACTTCTTTTCTTCTTTTCTCGTAGACTCGCTCTTTACTGAGTGTATTTGAGGAAGATGCTGGTACCCTCACGGATTATACCAACCAGCTGCTCCAGGCGATGCAGCGGGTCTACGGAGCCCAGGTATCCTGCTGTGCCTTCACCTGAGGAGGAGGAGAGTAGGAAGCCCCCTGCCCTCATCTGGGACTTCTCTCAAGGGGCTGAGAAATTTGAGTCAGAACAATACCATTGAAAATTTGGAAGTAGAATCAGAATTGTCTTCCTCACTTCAGTTCACCTTAAAACACTGAGGACAGTCTGTTTTCTCTGCTTAAGAAAGTGCGTAATTTTCCTGTAACTATTAAAGCCAGTAGAGAAGGACCATGTCACTGGTTTTAATTTTTTTAAAAACTCAGCCCCAGAGGGGAACATCTGAATCTCCTCTTCCTATTTGTGAATGAGCAGGGTCAGTATCCTGAGACATGCTCTTTGTCTTTCTCATAAATGGGAGTCTTAGACGTCCAGGCAGGGCGGTAGGGAGAGTTTTCCATGTGCTTCCTCTGAGAAGGCTTGAGTCACACTTCTGAAACTGTCGGGTGGCTTCTTTGTTTTGAGGAACAAATATCTCTGACTTGCAGAACAATGGAAAATAAATTGCTGAGTAGCAAAAGTGAATTTTTTTTAAGATTGAGAAGTGCCTGTTTATGTTACATTCTAAGGGAAGACTTACAAATTACTTAAAATTCATCATGTTGCACGTCAAAATATTAATGGCTTGCTGATGCATTTCATTATTGATTCCTTGCTGACTTAAATCTGTATATGTCAGTTTCTTTTTCTCATCGATGATCTCTAAAGAGTTACCACATTCAGTATATAATATATACTAATAATTGTATGTAGTCATTTCTTATATAGCTCTTGATATTCATATATGATCATTTATTATTATTGTTTTATTAGTCATTTATTCATATCGTATATGGGAAGATGACTCAGTCCTTGCCATTAGAGAGTTTATGTTTGGGGAGGGAGACAGAGAAAACATTTATCTAAGAGTGTTAGCACCACTAGGAGAGGAGGTCACCTAACCCAGAGGAATTGTGCTCAGCACCCAAACGGAGGAGGATTGTAACAGTCGAGATAATTGAATATTTTGTAGCTTCTGGGCATGATTTCAGGACTTTTACAGCAACTCTGTGAGGTGGGCATTGTTGGCATTATCCTCATTTTATAGGTTAGAAGAGATGGAGGGGGTGTGTGTGTGTGTGTGTGTGTGTGTGTGTGTGTGTGTGTGTGTGGAATGGCAGGGATACCAATCATAATTCTTTCTTGAAAGGCTGATTTTGAGGTGTCCATGGGACATCAAAGTGGAGAAAGAGCTTGTTGAAAGTTCCGATCTAGAGTTCAGGCTGGAGATAAAGATTTGCAAACTCTACTGTATTATACAAGTGTAACTTAATTGGGACTGATTTAAAACCCAAACAAATCATGTGCTCATTGTGAATCTACTTGTTGTTTTGGTAAGACATTCAGAAACTGGAGACATATTATGTTGATTTTTTAAAACCCTATTTATATTGTATGTTTTTATATCCCCTGCATATTCAAAATTTAAGAAAATAGAAATTTTTTTCCCTGGACTTGGACCTGAACTCACTTGCTGTTCAGTAATTTGAATATTGTCGTTAAATGACTTGTCTCCTGTTTAAGGTTTAGGACTTAAGGGACAGTGTCTGTGTCACTCCCAAGAGTCTCTGTTCTGCCTCTCCATGTCTGTCAGAATCATTTACTTGGAGATGTCCAGAGGCTTTCTTATGCGTTTTTTCTTTTGAGCCAGAAAACTACATTTTGCCAAAATTAAGTGGGTCGTGCATTCCAAGAGTCTGTAAACCGGCTTTTAATTCACACCACATGATCATCACATGGGTTCTCTACTGGCCAGAAACCCTTCCTCCTGCCTTGGCATTTCCTGCAGCAGAGGCCCACGGGAAGGGCTGGTTAGTGCTGCCAGACTCAGCAACAGATCCAAGCAGTGGCAAGCGGCATCCAGATCAGCTGGGTCAGGGTCAGTTGGTTTTCAGGTTTATATGAAGGCTTAAGTGTCTTCTTCTGTTTCTTTGTAATTAAAAAAAAGAAAACTTCTTTGATTCCTCTTTGTTGAATTTGTTTATATACATGTATGTATCGGTGTGTGTATATGTGTGTGTAGTAATACTTATCAGTGTTTTCACTCAACTTTTTCCCCCTAAGTTATGTTTTCTTGGTTTATTTAACATCATTCCTTAAATATTTTACTCCTAGACCTGTTGCATTAAATTAATAGGGTTTTATAATCTCATTTTTTAAAACACAGGCACTTAGCAAGATGTTTTTGCATTATTGTATTTTAAAAACCAGGTTTATGCTGCTGATAAATGATCAATGATTGACTTTGAATCAGACCACATGGTAAATTTCTGTATTCTGATAGGGCGACAGCCACTGGACCTCAGTTTTAGAAAGAGGAAGAGTGAGGAAAACTAGCGGAAAGTTCTGTGAGCAGTTTTGCTGATTGTAGCTGATTTGGGGGAAATTTTAAAATTTATTTGACTTACGTGCTAGAAGGAAGCTATGGTCCATGAGCTGTTTTCAGCATTTTACAGCGGTCCCTGAAGTCACGTCTGGTCTTTTGACTGTCAGATGTGCCTTTGTAGGCCATGGGAACTGAGTACCTTATTAGAGGTCATTTGAACGAAGGAAGCAGTACACGTTTCTCATGCACTAAGAGCAGAAATGGGTTACATAAAAAGATCTGTCTTGAAGATGACTGGCTAGGTAAGTTTAAAATCTCCCTCGTGTCTGAATAGACGCATCTGTGTCCATATTCAGTTAAATCTCAAATTTTGTGTTTCATACATTTGATACACAGAATCACATAAATAATCAAAATATCTGCCATAATTTTGTTTCTTTCTTAGAGAGGTTAAAAATTTTTAAATCTTGGGGCACCTGGTTGGCTCAGTCATCAAGCGTCTGCCTTCAGCTCAGGTCAGGATTCCAGGGTCCTGGGATCGAGCCCCTCATTGAGCTCCCTGCTCAGCAGGAAGCCTGCTTCTCCCTCTGTCCCTCCCCCTGCTCGTGTTCTTTCTCTCTCTGTGTCTCTCTCTGTCACATAAATAAAATCTTAAAAACAATTTTTTATCTTTTAAGAATAGATTTATTAGGGTCTTACAGTGAAGTTTACTTAGGTAATCTCCTTGCGAATATTGTTGTGAGAAAACGGACCAGTGAAGTGTCCCCAGCAGTATTAGCAAAACCCAGCAATTCTTGGAACCTGTCTCCTCCAACAGATAATGGACCTCTGTAGTTAGTGCCTTCAGTCTGGATAGAATTTTTTTTTCTTTAAATAAATTTTGGATGGATTTTTTTGAAGTGAGAACCATGGTTAAGGCTCTTTCATTTTCCTTCAGCGAAACTGGCTTACATTGTTCAATGTAAGCAGGAAACATTGTTCAATCTCTACAACTGTTCTTCAACCTTCTTGAATACAGAACGACAGATCCTAAAAACTAAAAGCCCAAATTGGAGATGGGAATAGTATCTTTTCAAATTGGGGTAATAGGTAGCAGTAGGAGGTGATAGGAGTAAAATATTTTGAAGAGAAGATACACAGAAATTTGGTATTACAAAGAAAAAAATTCTTCTTTAGAAATGATGGTATACAGTTGACACTTGAACAACATGAGTTTGAACGGTACAGGTCCATTTATACGTGGATTTTTTTGATAAATACAGTGCTGTAAATGTACTTTCTCTTTTTTTGGTAAAGATTTAGAGCGTGAGAGAGTGCACACATGCGCACAAGTTGGGGGAGGGGCAGAGGGAGAGGATGCCAAGCAGACTCCCTGCTCAGTGCGGAGCCCAAAGAGGCCCTGAGATCATGACCTGAACCAAAACCAAGAGTTAGATGCTTAGCCAACTGAGCCACCCAGGGGCCCCTCACTTAAGATTTTCTTAATAACATTTTATGTTCTCTGGCTTACTTTATTGTAAGAATATAGTATATAATACATATAACATACAAAATTTGTGTTGACTGTTGATGTTATCAGTGGGGCTTCTGGTCACTAGTAGGCTATTAAGTTTGGGGGCAGCTAAAAGTTATATGCAGATTTTTGGCTGCGCAAGGCAGGGCCGGCCCCTCTAACCCCTGCATTGTTCAAGGGGCCCATGTATAGAGATCTCAAGCTCAGCAAGCTAATGCACCTGTTGGGAAACAAAATGAGAGGAGTGGGCTTCTAGGAGTATGAGCTTATAGTAGGGCTGGGGAAGGATTTGGAAGGCAGATAGGGTCAGAACTGCGTATTTTAATAAGAGAAATAATGGTCTCCGTTTATTGGGCGCAGAAACATACTACAAGCTATGCTCGGCATCTCCTTTGTAGAATCTCCCTTAGCTTTCATAAGAAAGGAGAGGTATTACTACAGCATGTGTTCGCAGATCAGTAAACTAAGACTCAGGTTTTGTATTTTGCCTAATATCACAGTGACAGAACTAGAATTTGCTCTCAGGTCTTTGACTCCCAAGACCTGCACTCTCACCCTGAACCACTATGTTCTACTCTTTTGACATACTGGCCTCCAGAAGTGGCAGCAGAGGCTAAGGAAGTGGGAGCCTTCCAAGCTTGTTCTTGTCACTATAGAACGACCCCCACTATAGGATGGCCCAGCAGCAGTGTACACAGTGGTTCCCCCTTTAGCTACAGGTTCACTTTCTGCCGTTCCCGTTACCCATAGTCAACTGTGGTCTGGAAGCAGGCGCTCCTCCTTCCGACATACTGTCAGAAGGTCAATAGTAGCCTAGTGCTACATCATTCACCTCACTCCACCTCACCACATAGGCATCTTCTTGTCTCATATCATCACAAGAAGGAGGGTGAGTATAGCACAATGAGATACTTGAGAGAGAGACCACATTCATATTAGCTTTTGTTACAGTATACAGTTGGCCCTTGAACAATGCAGGGGTTGGGGTGCTGACCCCCATACAGCTGAAAATCCCCCAAAGCTTAGCTAGTAATGGCCTCCTGTTGACCAGAAGCCTTCCAATAACATAGAGTTGATTAACACATACTATGTATGTTGTATATACCATGTACTGTG